GGGGGGGGGAGTGGTCAAACTCAGTAAAGCAAGCACTTTCTAAACTGAGCTATCTCTTCAGCACCAAGCATTGATTTTCTTCTTGTGCTGGCTAGTTTTCCGTCAACTTGACACAGGCTAGAGCCCTAGGAAAGAGGTAACATCGATTATGAAAGTGCCCCCACCAGACTGGTTTGTGGGCAAGCCTGTGGGGAATTTCCCTACTTGATAATTGATGTGGGGGAGGGACCTAGCTCTCTGTGGGCAGTGCTACCCCTGGGCTGGTGATCCCCAGGGGACAGGGTAGAATGCATGCTGAGCAAGCCAGTAAGCAGCATCTTGCCATGGCTTCTGCTTCAGTTTCTGACTCTGAATTCCGGCCCTTACTTCCCTTGACAATGCACTACACGTTGTAAGATGGAATGAGCCCTTTCCTCCTCAAACTGAATTTGATTACAGTGTTACATCGCAAAAGAAACCCTAAGTCACCTCTTCAAAATTTCTACGGTAAGCAGGGGCTGATGCAAAACTCTAATGTATGGATGGCCACTAAAATGATCACTTTGAGGAGTAACAACACATGAAAATGTATTGAGATGATGTAGCAAAAGAAAAGCAGAACTCAAAAATGTCTCTTGCAATGTTACCACCTGGTGAAAAGAGGTGACTTGAAGCAATCGTAAGAGATTCAACTGAAAGTAGAACAGGAAGAGAAATGTAAAATAACTTACGGTGTTTTGGTGCTGTTTACCGCTCTAGTTGGCGGTGTGAACCTGGGAAAGCGGGGCCTAGAAATGAGGTGGACTGAAGTCTCATGCAGTAGACAACTTTATTCAGAGCACCAGACAGTTTATACTCTGAGGGTTAAGAAGAGTCACAGGAGTGAGCTGTTCAATCACAGGGCAAGGCACATGTTTTCCCATAGAGGCACATGAATAACAACAGCTGACATGAACTCACTCCTATCCTCGACACCTGGGAGGAGCACAAAAACACACCCCGAGAACAACTCTGTGTTTAAAAAAACAAAAAGGCTGAGGTCACAAGACTCTTTGTCTTGTTGGAGTTGTCTCGCAAGCACTCAGAATTCTCACACGACTCCATTCTTGGACTGAGTTCCAAGATGGTGTAATTAATATGAAAGTAGAAAAAGAACTATAATAACTCAATACTAAAGTCATGAGCCATTTTTAACTACTTGGCTATTGTATCTATTTGCTCACTATGAAACTAGCACAGTATTCTCAGAAGAGCAAAAAGAGAGGTATACTAACTGGGCCCCTAAAACCACAGCCTCTAAAAGCAGGTGTCACTGGCCTCAAGCCTTCCCCACTTAGAAGGTCTGACTTAGAGAATGGTGTGTGTAAACAACGGCTGTTTCGTTATGAACTACAGACTGGGTTGGGAAAGTCCCAAACCATAATTTTAAATAAGAACTGCCAATTTTTTGATAGGTTTTTAAACCACCAGTTTCTATCTCGAGAAAAAGCAAATTACAAGCTTGTACCACTTGTTTAATAAGAACTCTGATTTAAGAACATATTTCCCCAGTATGATTCCTCTGTGCCCGAAAACAAATCGCCGTGAGGTAATAAAATCAATTCCTTAAGAAGACTTCCTCTGATAAAGGCTAAAGAGACAGCAAATACACAAAAAGCTAGCAATCGAGCTCACTGCAAGACCACAGGTCATACTTCAGACACCCCACCATTAAGGCATCCACAAAGCTGAGTGCGCGTTTGGCAACCAGGAATAGAAACATTCATTTTGACTGAAAAGCAGACAGGCTGAACCCCTTCCAAAAACACCTCATCACACTTGTGCAGCGCCTCGGGTTGTTCCTCATTTTGGCTTACCAAATAACAACCCCAACAGAGTCTTAACGAAAGCCCACACCCCATCCCTGGAATCAGCCCCTTGCAAGGAGTTTGAGGCAAACATTTCAGGCCAGATATGTTGGCCACAGAGCCGCAAAAACGCCAGTCACTGTACTCCTTCCTCCCTTCCTCGCTGCAGAGACAAAGGGCCCTTGTCTTACATGTGGCTCTTATTTAGGAAGCAGGAGCAGTAGAGAAAGGGGGTCTTGCTTCAAGGTCTGACAGGTGTCATAGGATCCTGTTATGAAGGGGAAAGACAAAGAAGCAAGCAAAAGACAAGTTCTTTCCATCTATTAAAAGGAAGTACAGAAACTGAGCTTATGAATTTTAATTAGTAGACCAGCAAAACAACACAACAAGCCACTGACCCAAGTGACCCAATGGGCAAAGTGGGAGAGGAATTGATACATCCATCTGAGGCCTTCTCTGACAGCCTGCAATAATAGCCATTAGTAATCAGTATCAAAGATCTGAAGACTCTATCCAATCATCTAAATTTAAAATAAAGCTGTTCTTCCTACGCCCAGCGTCCACCCTTGGGGCATTAGTTATTGCTGTTCCAAGCTAGTGATAGTCCCTACTAAAACTCCTCATAGCCACACAGACCACCGAGACCCAGCAGCCCAGCTAGACACAACCAGATCTTAATCACTTCAGAAAGTCCAAGTCACCAAACTGTCCCATATGGCTGCATTTTTCTGAAATTCTACAGAAAAGGAGTGGGGGCAGGAGACAGAGAAGAGAAGAAGGGGAAGGGGGAGGGAGGAGAAAGAGGAAGGAGAGAGGCTGAGGGAGGGAAAGGGAGCTAATGTGCCCCAAAATTAGCTATGCTCTCTCATCCTCTGAGCTGCCACCTCCACGCAGTGGAACAAATGCCTCTGAGGGTCCTCCAAATCAGGAAAACACCATGTTCTGCCCTCTTCAAGAAAGACCGCACTTTTCTATTTCCTGCCACAGTGTATCATCGTCGGTCACAGCAGTTGCTATCTGTCAAGATATTGGGGGGCTACAGTACCTAGAAGCTTGCCTAATCCTACTTTTCCGGGATGATGGAGGAAATGATGGTGCATAGTAAGAGATGAAGTGGGGGGGGGCGCACAAAAAGAAACTTTGTCCCGGCGGGCTTCTTACAGAGCAGTGAAAAATGAAGCCCAGCTGTCCAACCCCTGCACCCTCCCCCCCCCCATCCTCGCAACCCTAATGGCCTTCTATACAGACGGTGCTGCAAGACGGATGGAATCAGAAAGTTAGAAGAAACTTCCGCGATCCTTTAAGGAACGCTAACTCGGTCTACGATGACTGAGCACCCCTTGGAACGCAGAAGCATCCCCTCATCCCGATGCACGCCCCCAGAACACCAACCCCTCCCCCAGCGCGGAAGAAAGCCCTTCGGGAGGCATCCTTGAACAGCTCCCACGGTAAGAAAGTTCTTCCCTTCCTCTCTGCCTGCCTCTTAGCCCCGAGCAACGGCGCGCAGCCAGGCCTCTGGAGCGCCACAGGGAAAACTGCTCCCTCTTCACTCAGTGGCCCTCAAAAAACGCGCGGACAGCTGTCACTTGCGCTCCAGTCATCTCTCTTCACTTCCGCAAGCGCGTGTGACATCCATTGCGCTCCCCTTCCCGCTCCCCCTTCCCAGTTTGCGCTAGCCAGTGCAGGAAGGCAAACACTTGCCCACACGTGGGTCTGGGAAGATCTGAACCCGGGGCCTCGGGAAGCCAGGGAGCTCCGGTCACACGGAGCTGCCCTTGCCGGAGCGAGCCTCACCGGGGAAGCCCAACTCCTGCAGCCGCAGCGGGTCCCGGTGGACCCGGCGCGCCCCCCACCCGAGCCTCTGTTACCTGTCGTTTGTTCATCTTCCTCAAGTCCCCAAAGATGTCCAGGCTGGACGTGGGGAGATGCGTCCCCACGGCGCCCGCGCGTACCATGGCGGGGTCTCTGGGGGCACGGGTGGCCCGCCGGCTCCGTCTGTCACACACAGCTGCGGAGCACCGGCAGGCCCCGCCCACCAGCCCGCATCCTGGAGGCCACGTGACCAGAGGCTCTCGTGCGCTTCTGGGAACCGTAGTCTCGTGAGGCTCAGATCACCCCTAGGCCCTGGAGAAACTGGGAGAGTGGGGAACTACGACTTCCAGAATGCTACGGGCGGAGAGCCTCGGCCAGTGAAGACCCAGGGCTCCCGGGGAGCGTGGCGAACGGGCTCTGAAGCCTCGGTCAAGCCGTCTAGGAGATTGTGAGGCAGCCGGCGAGCCGCTTGTCTAGATGGAAACTCAGAGAAGTGACTGCTCGAAAAGAGCGGAACTCCAAGACTCTGGTCAGGCGCCAGCCGGACACCTAAAGCTCCCTCGCTCTCACCTAGCCGTGTATCTTGGCCATTGGATGACTGCCGCTAGGAAAGGCGGGGCTTCTGCCCTGCGGGCGGGCTGTGAAAAAATTGGGGCGGGGCCTAAAGATGGGCATGCCGGGTGGGCGGGGCCTTGAGAGGCGGGAGTTTTGAAGCGGTGCGGTACCGCGCTGTGGAAGAAAATAGCTGTGAAGAATTTTGATGGGATTTTGATGGGGATTGCATTGAATCTATAGATTGCTTTTGGTAGAATTGCCATTTTTACTATGTTGATCCTCCCAATCCAAGAGCAAGGGAGATCCTTCCATTTTCTGGTGTCCTCTTCTATTTCTTTCTTCAAAGACTTAAAGTTCTTGTCAAATAGATCTTTCACTTCCCTGGTCAGAGTTACCCCAAGATATTTTATGCTGTTTGTGGCTATCGTGAAAGGTGATGCTTCTCTGATTTCCCTCTCTGCTTCCTTATCCTTAATGTATAGGAAGGCAACTGATTTTTTGGAGTTGATCTTGTATCCTGCCACATTACTAAAGGTGTTTATCAGCTGTAGGAGTTCTTTGGTAGAGTTTTTGGGGTCGCTTATGTATACTATCATATCATCTGCAAATAACGAAAGCTTGACTTCTTCATTTCCAATACGAATCCCCTTGATCTCCTTATGTTGTCTTATTGCTATTGCTAGAACTTCAAGCACTATATTGAAGAGGTATGGAGAGATTTCCTACCTGGCTTTAGCCATTGGCCGAAACAGCTTTATTCATCAGCCAATAAAAGCAACACATATCCAGAAGGACATCCTACATCAGAGTCTGTGTTAGGATGAATTGGTAAGTCCTGATTGGACAGGTTGCCCAGTGTAGCCAAATAATGAATTTGAATTTCTGGACCTTGGGATTTTGATAGCTAGACCTTGGAGTTCAGCCTCAGGAATGAGACAGTGTTCAAATAAGGGAATGGACCTTGGGGCCTAGCTGTAGGGATATAATCTAATGGTTTAGCAAGGGAGAGGGTAGAGGAGAAGGCAAGGCCGGCCAGTGCCTGCTGTGGGAGCACATTTGCTCCTTCAACCAATAGCGGTTAAGATACCAGCCCACTTAGGCGTGGTCTCTTATACCATAAATGCAGCTGTAAAGCCTGTGTGTGTGTGTGTGTGTGTGTGTGTGTGTGTGTGTGTGTGTGTGTGTGTTCTCACGCATGCGTAGAACTGTAAGTAGTTCACTGTACAGCGGGATTGCCGGAAACATGAGGCTACATAATCTGTAAACTGACTAAGGAGAATGGGAAGGATCAGAATGATAACAAGGACATTTTTTTAAAGGCATGTGGAAAGACCTCTCAAAATAGGCAAAACCACAAAAGCATTCCTACCCCAAGTGGATGCCTATAGCTGTCTCATACCAGAAACATATAACTAGGTAAACAAAATTAAATCAACCATGAATATCAGCCATTTCTCCTCTCATTCCAGCACTTGTTCAAAATTCCCATAACTTAAGTGTACACAGTGGCAAAACAGGTTATACATTGTCTAGTAACGTGGACTTCTCTTCCCCAGGACTGACCTGAATAATGCTACTGCAGATTGTCCATACTGAAAACAGTAGAGGTCAACAATGAACCCCAGTCTGGCAGTTCCTTGGTTGGACTAGCCAGCCACCTACGCCTAGACTTACTACATTGGGTACCCTATTGTGGACAGAGCAGAGATGCTCCCTACTGTAGTCACGTGGTCTGCTCACAGCTTTGGCTTCTCATCCCTGATGCCTCTGCCAGCAGCACCTGTAGGCTCACAGTTGTCTTACTGTTGCGTCCCTCTGCTCCACATCACCCTTGCTTCCAATAAGAGGATGGAGCGGGTATCAAAGAACTAGAGAAATCAGCTCATGCCTGTGCAGAAAGCTGCTTTTTACTACATACTCCATCACTTATGAGCAACTGGACCAAACAGAGAGTAGCGTGGAAGGCTGGGTGTGGTGGCACACACCTAAAATGAACCACAGCACATTCGAGAGGCTGAGGCAGAAGGATTTCGTTCCGTGCTAATCTGAGCTACATAGCAAGACCACGCCTCGAAAAAACATTGAAAGATCCTACAGAGTGCAGAACGTTCGCACTGATGATCTTTCCCCGTGCTGTCTCCGCAGCCAGAGACCATGGCCCAGAAATTACGCTGAGTAATCCCTCTCATGCTTACACCCAATGGCCCGCTCTCAATAGTTTGCTTCTCACTTCCACAGCTAAAGCCTCACTTGTTTGGAGACCTTATCCCTCAAAGAGGAATGCTTCCAGCGGGGACACAGCCAACAAAGTAGCCTTCTAGTCCCTTGTGGTTCCTTCCACCACCAAACTAGAAAACATTAAAAATGGCTGGAATAATTGGCCCTGATTACCAAGAGAAAAACTGAATTGCTGCTGCATAATAAGACTAAGGGTGACTATGCATGAAGCCATCTGGGATGCCTTTTAATTCTTCTGTGAGCAAAAGAAAAGGTTAATTGAAAATTACAGGGTGTGGATGTCACATTAGGGAACGAAGAGGGCAACTTCCTCTTAGAGCGATTGACACCAAGCATGAGCCCAGATTTGAATCCTCCACTTCTCTGCCTTTGTCTTCCATCTGTCTGTAGTTTGTAGCCTGTGGCCTGTCTGTTGTTAGTCTTTTGTGTGTGTGTTTGATGTCTGACTGTCCCTGAAAGGGAGCCTTGCTCTATTTTTATTGAACAGTACAGTGATGTGGTATGGGAAAGGCATGAGGGATACCTTTTGTTCTTTACAGAAACCTTTAACAGGGATTTACAAAGGAAGACGTTTCTTTACTGACCATCAGTTGACCCAGAATAATGCTCAAAACCATGTACAGATGTTATCAGCCTGCATCCACTTGTTGTTTCCACCACGTGTGGGGTATTTGTTGTTTATGGTTGTTTTTAATCTGTTGACCACTTTCAGTAAATGCTTACCACGGCCCACACCTACAGACACGTGCATACACCTCTACACAATGTATGTGCCCTCATTTGGGAGAAAGTAGGAGCACCCCTTGTACAGAGGCTTGTTGTGCCTTCTTAGAAACGCGGAGTTGTTCCACTGTTGTCTGGGAGTTCAAATACGTACAGTGAGCCAGTGGCTTGTGCCTACTCTCGGTTTATGCCATCTTTCCAAATCTGCTCTTATCTGCCCTGCTGTGTAATAATAGCTGGACGCTGAAAACGTCTCTCCTGTGCCAGCTGGCACCGTGCCTCGCCAGTAGAAGGATGAAATGGAGATTTTTTTTCCTTTTATGAGCTTTTGTTCAGTTTTTGTTCTTGTGCTATAGAGCCAGTAGCTTGCAGATTCCATCTGCTGCTCACCCTCCGGATCGCTGTGACGGCAGGTGTGTCCCACAGACTGCCTGCCATTGAGTTTTTATCAGTGCCTCAGCTGGCTTCTTGGTGCCCCTCACTGGGCAGGACTCCAATGGGCAAACTCCTCCCATCACCTGTCCTGATTGACAGCCTCGAGCCAGCTGAGAAGGTTTCAGTTGAGTAATTAAGTATACTCGGGTTTATGAGCCTAGAGAGAGGTCTCAGTGGTTAAAAGCACTGGCTGCTTCCTCAGAGGAACTGAGTTCAGTTCCCTGATTCCACACAGTCACTAACAACCATCTGTAACTCCAGTTCCCAGGAATCTTTTGGCCTCCGTGGGCACCAGGCACACACTGTGGTATATCAACATATATGCATATATTTATACACTTAAAAATCTCAAAGAAAAAACCTAAGATAATCATATTGGCCTGTTGGTGTGACTCTGAGGGACTGTCTTAATTGTTAACTGATATAAGTGAGTGGCACCATTTCTAGGCAGGTGGTCCTGGGCTATATGTGAAAACTAGCTGAGCATATGCCTATGAGTCAGTCAGCAAGCAGAATTCCTTCATGATTTTTGCTTCAAGTTCCTGCTTGAGATCCTGGCATAACTCCCTCAAATGATGGATTGTGACCTGAAAAAAGCCAAAGAATAAATCCTACATGCACTTCAATTGCTCTTGAACAGATAGTATTTCTTCCTAGCAACAGAAAGGACACCAGGGTACCACCCCAGCTTGCCCCACCTCTGAGAACTTCTCTACCACACAGCAGGCACAACAAACCCTCTCGTCACTTGGAGACAAGCCTGTCCCAGGTTTGTTCTTGGTGTTCTGGCCCAGCATCAGTCGTGATTGCCTCTTTCCGTGTCTACTCTTCCCGTAAACTTCCCTTTTTAACCTTCATAGATAATCCACTGCTAGTTTTACTTAACTTTTTTGAAGGTATAGTGGTGATCTATGTCTTTACTAGACCCTGGCTGATATCACTGAACATTCCAGAAGCAACACAACATTATCTTCTGATTATGGTTTCCACTCCTCCAACTCCTTCTAGTTCCTCCCTGTATCACCCCCAACCCAGATCTGTCTCTTTCCGGACACCCTTTCTGTCTCTCATTAGAAAGCAAACAAACATCTAAGGAATAATGATAAAATAAGATAAAGCAAAAACAAATCAGAATTGGACAAAACAAACAGAAGAAAGGGAGCCAAGGAAAAGACCCAAGAAACACATATAGACACAAAGACACACACATTTGCACACTCAGTTCCATAAAACACAACTGGAAGCTATGATATATATACAAAGGATCATTAAGATTTCTAGAAATGCTCTATACCATATTAATTTGGAGACAAATAACCTCCCAAGATGTGACGTTGGGTTTGTTTTCTGCCAGCCATCTTCTTCTGGGCATGGGGCCTATCCTTAAGAGTGGATTGTTTCTCCAATGAGCTTCCCTTGGAGAAAACTAATTTTTCATTTCTGGGTTAGGGATGGGGCCGTGTCCATTTTCAGTTATAGGACTTTATCTGGTGCAGGTCCTGGATGTTCTGCCTCCGTGTCTGTGAGTTCATCCTTGCATCCTCAGTTGTATGTGTTCAGAAGGTCTTGTCTTCTTGGTGAACTCAATCCTCTGTGCCTCTTAAACTCTTTTTGTCTCCTCTTCCACAGACTTCCTGAGCCCTAAGGGGAAGAATTTGATGGAGACATTACAATTGACTGTTCTTTCCATATTGTCTGGTTCTGGGTTTCTATATTTGTTCCCATCTGCTGCAGGAGGAAGCTTCTCTGATGATGATTGAGCAAGGCATTGATCTAAGAGTATAGCAGAATGTATTAGGAGTCATTTTACTGCTACTTTCCTTTAGCAGGAATAGTCAGTATTTGATTTTCTCCTAGGTCTGTGGACTATCTAGACTCAAGTCCTTGCCTACCCAAGCAATGTCGGGCATAGGTTCCATCTCATGGAGTAGGCCTTAAATCAAATCCTATCTTGATTGGTTATTCCTACAAGCTTTGGGCCACTATTGCAGCAGCATGTCTTGCAGGCAAGACACCATTGGAGATAGGAGGGTTTTTAACTGGATAGCTGATATCCTGTTTACCAAATATTTCCATTATAGTTCATTCATACCAGTAGCAAAATTACAGTTATGAAGTGTAGTAAGGAGGCCGCTTGTTAGTTCCCAGCCTCCTAGCCCCAAAATAATCACACAGAAACTGTATTAATTAAATCACTGCTTGGCCCATTAGCTCTAGCTTCTTATTGGCTAACTCTTACATATTAATTTAATCCATTTCTATTAATCTGTGTAACGCCGTGTGACAGTGGTTTACCAGCTAAAATTCCCAGCATCTGTCTCCAGGGGCTCCATCGCTTGTCTCTGACTCCACCTCCTTTCTCCCAGCATTCAGCTTAGTTTTCCCCACCTAGCTCTGTTCCCCTGTAGCTCTGCTATAGGCCCAAAGCAGTTTCTTTATTAAGCAGTGATATTCACAGCATACTGAGGGGGTTCCCACATCAATGAAATAACAAAAAACATAATTTTATGGTCAGTCAGGGTTCACCACAACATGAAGAACTATATTAAATTTTTGTAGCCTTAGGAAGGTTCCAAACCACTGTGTTAAATGATCTACCCTTGGTCAGGCGATGGTGGTGCACGCCTTTAATCCAGGCACTCGGGAGGCAAAGGCAGGTGGACCTCTTGTGAGTTTGAAGCCAGCCTGGTCTACAGAGCTAGTTCCAGGACAGGCTCCAAAGCTACACAGAGAAACCCTGTCTCAAAAACAAACAAGCAAACAAAAAAGAAAAATGGCAGTCCTTAGAACAATCAGATCTGTAGTGTGCAGACATGCTCACCATGTAGAGTAGCCAGTAAATTAGGTAGCCATAATCAAGGTGCATCCTCTAATTTAGAAACCTGGAGCACCTCCCTGCAGGCTTTTCTAATAGGATGAGTTACAGAAACAGGTCATTCTTATCCGTCAAGTGCATCGATTTTATTCTTATAAATGACCTATTTCTTAGACAAGAGATAATTTTGAGTTCACAACCACCTTGTCCAAAATGAAAGGCTACAGGATAGCAAAACTAGAACTTAAACTCAGGTCCACCAAACCCAAGCTCACTGTTAATCTACTGTCCTCTCAGTTCTTCCTCCCTTTGGGACCACATAAGCAGGCACAGCCTCAGGTGGGTTCCACTTCCAGTTATCGGGATCAAACTGGTGCCTCCACACTGAGGACAATGGAGCCAGAAGCAACTCAAAGTCACAATCACCAACAGAAACTGTGGGTCCTGGTCTGCTGCCACCTGATAGAGAGGTCATTCATGAATAGAACTCTCACCGGATGGCATCTAATGAATGACTGGGCCTTCAGTCAGCCTGAGTGGAGACACGGGAGCCAATTGGGCAGGATAGAGTCTGATCATCTCAGGTCTGAGTCACAAGCACCTGGGTAATGATGCCAGACAGCAGCCCTCTGAGTCAGGCTCTGCCTTCTCCGTCTTCTACAGGGATGTGTCTCAGAAGAAATACATGGATATCCAGGATGTCATTCCAAGGGGAGGAGTGATTCGGGCTCCCTCTCCTCCTTCACAGCCCCTCCCTCACCTATGTAAGTGTTCTTGTCAAAGTCATTACTCAAAATACTACCGTCTCCTACTCAAGCCAACTCTGATTACCTCCCATTAGAAATAGCAAGGGAGGAGGGTGGAATGGGAAATGACATTCAGTCACAAAAGACACTTTTTATGTCCCACACTGCTTGACTGTCATGAAACAACTAAGAGCCCTTCCAACTTGGCATCAAAATTAAAATGCCTTAAAAAAAAAAAAAAAAAAAAGACAGGGTTTCACTGTGTAGCCCCTGGCTGTCCTGGAACTCACAATATAGACCAGGTTGGCCTCAAACTCACAAAGCTCCACCTGCCTCTGCCCCCTCAAGGGCTAGGGTTAAAGTGTTTGTCATTGGCCCTGTTCTGTTGCTGCTGCTGCTGCTTCTGCTGGTATTGATGATGATATTTAGAAGCCAAGGGGGCGTTTTTTCTTACACTTGATACATTAATGATTCTCAGTACTTCCTGCATTAATCTGATTGAACAATCTGAGGGAACAAGACATAGGACATCTAGGTTGTCCTCTACCATGTCCACACAGATTGGAGTCACATTGAACCACCCACCTTACCACTTAGGCCTCGGTTTCTTTATCTGTAGAGACAATGGTGTATTCTCAAAGACACTCTGGCCAGTTTCCCAACTATGGCCTCCCAAAAACGCAGAGGTTGGCTTCACTCCCGGTAACTTAGCGAGCCTTCAGTCTCCTGTCTCAGTAGCAACAGTCAGATACAGTAACTACCCATTCTAAAGCCGGGTTAAAGTGAGATGACTTTGAAACTCCCTCCACTCCCTGCTCTTTGCCCCCGGGTGGCAGTGAGGTTCAGGGATGGAGCAGGGCTTGGGGCAGGAACTCTTTGTGCCAGCCTTGCCCTTCTGATCGCCTCCTTCAGGCTTGTTTGGCCTTTGAAGTGTAACCCGTTCTATTTCATCCTTTCATCTGTTTCGTCTGCTTCATCTGAGTCGCTGGATTGTGTCCTTGCTGCCTCACTGGAGTGCATGAAGTCCTGATGGGGCACGTGGCCTTCCTAACCACAAGCAGCACTGGTGACTTCACCTGAAACCCCAGGATTCTTCGAGTTGGCCCATTCTGTCTGTGTGCTCTCTTGGACAATGCCCTAACCCCATCTTTATCATATTGCCCTGTGCTGTTGTGCTCAGGGGACACTAGCTAAACTGTGGACACCCAAACGGTGCACTTTCATGCAGCATGAGTCTGGGAAAGGACAGGTGTTTTACGGCTTCTTCCAGCTCTTCGACTCAGCTGAGAGGTACAAATGCTGGACAGCGCTTGTAACCTTCGTAACCTTCACCATCATCTCCAGTCCCCCTCCCCGTGCCCTAGCTCTAAACGCTTTGAAGGAGGTTCAAAGAGAAATGGAAGATTCTAGGTATTTTCTCCATTCACCTCCCTTTGATCTTAGATCTGAGTGGCACCTTTGACCTTAGAAGTTAAAAAAAAAATCCACCACCTGAGTCTCAGACTTTGCAAGACTCCCTTAGAGCTGGCGTTATTAGGACAGTATTTTTTAGGAGGTTCAAGTGACAGTGTTAAGAGAGCAGGACAGGGGGCTGGAGAGATGGCTCAGAGGTTAAGAGCATTGCCTGCTCTACCAAAGGTCCTGAGTTCAATTCCCAGCAACCACATGGTGGCTCACAACCATCTGTAATGGGGTCTGGTGCCCTCTTCTGGCCTGACAGACAGAATATGGTATACCTAATAAATAAATATTTTAAAAAATATATTAAAAAAAAAAAGAGAGCAGGACATAGAGATGTGAGAAAAACACCACCTACTATACACCTATATGCAAATGTGACAGTTCAGTGACTCAGTGACCGGACCCTGCAAACAGCAATTCTAAGTTTGCAATTAAGGATTACACTTTGCTATGTGTGCATTTATGTGTTCTTACTACTCGCATGGCTCTAGAACCTGAGGATTCAGCCGTTCATGTAAACAGCTTGTAAGATGTTTAATCCTAATAGGAAGATAGTAAGATGATGATGATGATGATAATAATAATAGTCATTTCAACCACTTCAAATGTTATAGTTGATGAGGAGGCAGGTATTCTTCACCCTAAAGAAGGACATTCTGGGCATGGGGTCAGCAATTCCAAAATCCCTGAGACGGAAGAGACCTACAATATGAAGATAAAGGCCCATCTATGCAGGATGAGGAACTCATCAGGACACTGGAAAGACATTGCTCATATACTGGAATTTGGGTGGAGCAGTGCCTTCTGATAAGATCACGTCCTCCAAAATTAAGACAATAGAAGGGAGGGAGGAACAAGATGTCATTTACATCATTTATTCAGTTATTTATTCAAAGGATAAGCACTATGGGATGCTCTAGAGGTTTCAGTTTCTTTTTTAAACCTGGTCCTGGGTTAGAGGACCTGGTCCTCTAGACACATATGAATCAAGGTTTGGGGTACAGTCCAGTGGTAAAACATTTGGCAACACTGAGAATGAAAATCTTATGAATCGAGGAGTAATGGAGACACAACAAAAAGTTGCAGCAAAGGTGCAATATCTTATTCTATGCACATGCATGAGCACACACATGCACAGTGTTTAGTGCATTTTATGCACATGCATGAACACACGCATGCACAGTGTTTAGTGCATTCTATGCACATGCATGAACACACACATGCATGGTGTTTAGTGCATTCTATGCACATGCATGAACACGCACATGCATGGTGTTTAGTGCATTCTATGCACATGCATGAACACACACATGCATGGTGTTTAGTGAATCCTAGTAGGTCTGGAGGAGATGAAGTCACAGGTGGACTGAAGGAGAGCCAGCAGCCAAGATTTCTGAACAGTTGCTTTTCAAACCAGAGCTTTTGAGGGAGAGAAAACAAACAAACAAAAACAAAAACATCACTGTCTCATAGATTGGATTTCTTGTAATCAGGACTTTACACAGCGGGCAACAGCCTTTGTGGCTAGACAGCACTGCGGTCTGGAGTCCAGTTCCTAGAGAAAAGACCAGAACCAGTGAGATTGATTTTAAATGATGCTTAAATTCTCTATAAATTGTCAAAGGACTACACTAAATGAAGAAAAACATTTCAGGAAAAATCTGCCAAAGCTCAGTAAGAATACTAAGAGGATAAGACAAACGACCATAACAAATCACCCCACCCAAGTCCAGCTTGACTGAACCGCCCCCTCCATGTGGGTGTGGCCAAGAAAGTGGACCCACCTGTAGCTAGTTCTGGACGTTCAGAATTCCGGAATGAAGACGCCAGCAAAGTAAATATCTGATCGAGGCTCTCTGTGCTTCCTAGATCACCACTATGCAGATTCTTTCTATTGTTTTATACACTGATCCTGTCCATAAAGGCAGAGCCCTTGTGACCTAATCAACTCCTAAAGGCTCCACCCTCAGTACTGTGGCAATGGGGACTGAGTCTTGAAATGAATTTTCAAAAGCTACAGAACATAGCACTAGCTAGTTCACCAGAGAGAATCAAGGAAAGGACAGTGCAGGAGGGCCCTCCTTGGATCAGGAAAATTGTCCACTGGTCATGGAAATATAAAATGGTGAAGTCATTTTGGGAAACTGTCTACCAATTTACCAATTTTTCAAATGATTAAACAGAGATACTAAATCGTTATTTCTATCCCTAAAGACCTTAGAGAGATGAAGCGCTGCTATTAACAGACAGTTTCCTTATCACGTGTCAAATGCCTAATATAGGAACAGCTTAAGAAGGACAACTGATTTTGTTTCACAGTTCCAGAGACGTCAAGCCCTGGTCAGATGGCTCTATTGATTTGCTTTCTTGATGGAGGCAAAGTATCGTGAGAGTGTGAGTATGTGTGTGCCAAAGGCTGCCTTTATCATGGCGGCCAAGAAACACAGAAAATAGAATAGAAGGGGATGGCGACAAGAGACATCTTTCAAAGGCACACCTCCCAATGAACCGCTGCCTCCCGCTAGGTCCCACCTCCAAATAATGCCATCATATTGCAAATCCGTCAGGGATTAAACCATAAATAGGTCAGAACCCTCAAGATCCAAATTCTTTTCAAAAGCCCGTGCATTATGTGGCAACCAAACCCCCAGAACATGAGTTCTCAGAGATTTCCAATCCAAGCCATAATGCACACACCCAGGCAAAAATCTCTATGCATTAAAGCAGTATTATCTGTAACACCAAAAGAAGTGGAGATAATCCAAAACTTACTCTCCATGAATGAATAGACTAATGAACTAGGGTGTATCCAGCCACACAAGGAAATAGTCTTCAATGATGAAAAAGAAATACAATCTTGACATAAACTCAAATATAGATTAAAAACTTGAAAGCATTGTGCTAAGCAAAATAAGCCAGTTAAAGATATATGATATAAAGATATATGATAAGACTTCATTTATAACAGCGTCCGGAATACGTGAGTCTGTAGAAACAGTGCTGCTTTCTCTCCAGACACAAGACTGAGAGCGCTGGAAAGCGGAGGATGGGAGTGTTGACGCCTAAAAGATGTGGTGTTTCTCTCAGAGGTGATGAAACCTTTCTAAAATAGTGTTGTTTCATAACTCTCGAGCACACTAATAACCCCTGATTGCACTCTTAAACGGGTGAATGGTGTAATATATAAACTATGGTTTGACCAATCTGTTTCTTTAAGATTTCTTTTAGTTTTAATCACACCCGTATGTGCGGGGTATGTGCCGTGTGAGTGTACTCGTGCAGAGTCTAGAAGAGGGCTGTGGGGTCCCTGGAGCTGGAGGTGCAGGTGCCTGTAAGCCACCCAGTGCAGGTCCTGGGAACCGACTCGATCCTCAGCAAGAGCAACACATGCTCATAACCACTAACGCCATTGCTCAGCCCCTGGAGCTGTTGTCCCATCCATGAAAGAACACACCGCACACACGTGTGGCTCTTTTTCTTTCTTAATATTTTTAATTGTATGTGTATGAGTGATTTGACTGCATAAACGTTTGTGCTCCGTGTGTGTATCTGGTGCCCATGGCCAGAAGAGGCCTCAGATGCCCTGGGA